GTAAAGTTTATCAAAAACGAAAAAATTACTCAGAGGCGCTTCAGTCAAACCGGGAAGCGGTTGACATAGCAATACGGTTCTTTGGAGAACAACATGAAAGCACTGCTGACAGCTACAGGGAACTCGGTGTAACACAAAACAACATGCATGACGACAGCGCAGCTCTACAATCTCACCAGCGCGCATTGGCTATCCGTATTAAACTATTTGGAGAGGAACATGAAAGCACTGCTGACAGCTACAGGCAACTCGGTGTAACACAACACAACATGCATGACTATAATGCAGCTCTACAATCTCACCAGCATGCACTAGCTATCCGCATTAAACTATTTGGAGAGGAACATGAAAGCACTGCTGACAGCTACAGGCAACTCGGTGTAACACAAAACAAAATGCATGACAACAGCGCAGCTCTACAATCTCACCGGCGCGCATTGGCTATCCGTATTAAACTATTTGGAGAGGAACATGAAAGCACTGCTGACAGCTACAGGCAACTCGGTGTAACACAACACAACATGCATGACTATAATGCAGCTCTACAATCTCACCAGCATGCACTAGCTATCCGCATTAAACTATTTGGAGAGGAACATGAAAGCACTGCTGCCAGCTACAGGCAACTCGGTGTAACACAAAACAAGATGCATGACGACAGCGCAGCTCTACAATCTCACCAGCGCGCAATGGCTATCCGCATTAAACTATTTGGAGAGGAACATGAAAGCACTGCTGACAGCTACAGGCAACTCGGTGTAACACAATACAACATGCATGACTACAGTGCAGCTCTACAATCTCACCAGCGGGCATTAGCTATCCGTCTTAAACTGTTTGGAGAAGAACATGCAAAAACCGCTGATAGCTACAGGCAAGTCAAGATCACTCAAGACGCCCAGCGAAAGTTTAGAAAAGTGAAAAGAACAAAGAGAAATTTACAAAAATATGAATAGAACATTTTGAAGCTAAGTGATTCGTCATGTCTAAAAGAATGATGGGAGTTTGTAAATATTATTCATAGGAGCAAGGATATCTTTTAGAATCTGCTTTTCAATGTATTTTCTGCTCACTCAGCATGTGAGCATAGAATGGATAGGAAGATGATTAGACCACTAGCAGTCTCTCTTTTTTCTCAGTCTTTCAAAAAAGTGCGCGAGACCCGCAAATGACGCGCGCGGACTCCCGTCATTAAATCTTAAGAAAAGGAAGACTGTTTGTAGTCTAGGTGATGATCGTTAATATAGTGGAATCTATTTTATGGACACCCGTTTAATAACGGACAGTTTCCTTTGTCCCGACAGTAACTGGTTATTGGAACGGACGGTACTAGTTATTGCAACAGTGTGTGTCTCGAACGACTGGAAATGCTATTAGACACCTTACGTTAGGGACACTAGTGATCAGTGCACCGTATTCATCGCAGCAGCGACAGCCTTAAAGAGGTGGCCAACGCCTGTACAAAGGCTAAACAAACGAAGGGTGCTCGGGTGGGTGGGGTGTACTAATTAGCGAAGTCAAAGCTACACTTTCCCTCAGCCCCGTCAGTAAATCGATACTCTATGTGCCAGAGGCTTTTCGTGCACGGTTTTCGGTTTCGGTCACGCTCGTGTCTTCGGCCCGCGGCCGACAAAGCTCCTCGCTGCACGCGAGGAAAAACCTCTGGTATTCAGGGTACCTTATCAAGTAAAACTTTAAAATAACCGCTCAAACACAGTTAGAAGAAGGTATAAATGTGCAACAATTACAAAAGAAACCAGGGATGAACAAACTTGAAGAAGATTGAAACGGATTTTAATTGTGGTTTTGGAAAACTTGTTGACCTAACAGTTTTTCAATGTTCATTTTTGTTGTTTGTAATTAACGATGATGTGTTGGAGGCATGAAGCTGTGATTTTGTCATTCAAAGATAAATTTCTCAAGTATCATAGCGTAACTGTCATTAACCTGGGACCAGGCTCCGCAGTGGGGGAAAAAGGCAAAAATCGGGGTCAAATAGGAAAAATGTCGGTGAAAGAAGCGAGCCGAGCGGTGGCCTGGGGAGGGGGAAAGGGGCGCCACATTTTCCCCTCCTCAGACTACCTCTCGGCTCGCTTCGCTCGCCGATTTTCTTCTCCTTTTTCCCCAAAGCGGAGCCTGGTCGTAGGCTAAACTGGCATCGGTAAACAAAATGACCTCCCCAACAGTGATACTGCCCCTTAAAATAGACATTGAGAAATAGTTAGTAGAGCTTAAAGCCTGGGGCTCAAAGATTCATGTAATATGAAATTTTACGTCATAGCTTTTCAGTGAGTATATCTCAGTACGTATATAATTATACATACTCATTGTTCACCCCATGTAAGGGAATAATCCAGCACAGTCTTGGATTCTGGATTCCACGCTGTGGATTCCGGATTCCAGGTACTGGATTCCAGTATTTTTCTGTAAAACTGTAGAATTCTTGATTTCAATTGTTACTGGGATTCCAGATACCTTGATCTGTATTCCCGATTCCAAAACTCAGGATTCCGGATTCCATAAGCAAAATTTTCTGGGATTCCGGATTCGGTAACAGGGCTTAAAGTTTAAATTTGAGTTTGGGAGCACTTGTGCTACTAGATGTAAATTTTTGGGTGTACCGCCGAAATTTTAGGTGCACAGCGATTGGTAAAACACAGCCGATTTGCAACGCAGTAATACCTTTGCGATTTTTAATACTTATTTTCCTTTTTGACAGTACAGTTGTGACTAAAGAAAACTTACACTTGAAAAAAAAATTCAAAACTGAAAACAGTGAGTATGTCGAACTAGAATGAAAATTTATCTTTAATGAATTTTTTTAAATGCGCAATGACTTGCATGTAACTGGGATATGAGTTAAAAACTTTCTTACCTGGAAAAAAAGGCTCTTAATCCGCACTGTTTTTGTTTTGATTGACCTTAAAACTGAACGTTCGACATGATCGTTCATTGCGCAAAAAGCACGTGTTTCGTTGGTAGCATATTTGCACGTGTCAGCGGCGTTTACTACAAAAGAGAAGAGTCTGGGATGGAGTAAAACATCGAAACGAAAATGAACAATCGAGTTTGTGGAATTCATTGGGAGAAAAGACGAATTAAACATACACAGATGAAAGGAAAACGATGTAACTTATTAAAGCAATTTTCGTATGACCTTGAAATGAAAACGCGTGAACAAAACAGAAACAACAAACGAGTGTAAATAGAGCGATTTGATTGGTTTATCGAACGGATAGAAACGCGCGTGGCTTTTGGTTGGTTAAGCGAACACTCGGGCGAAAAAACTTCATTCCCGAGAACTTTCTGGAAATCAACCGATACTTCGCTTTCACGTCATACTGCAACACGATTGGCCAATCATACTATGCCTTCTCCATATTAGGGTTTCTTTGGCGGGAACACGAAGAAGCCATGTTTTTTTTATCTTTTCATGCATTAGCTGCAGCCTCCTCCTCAGGCGCTTCGTTTTTTACAAGGTAGAGGCGAGCGCCTGGTTATGAGCTGCAAGGGAGACGCCCGCCCTCTCCTTCCCGCCTTCCTTTGCGCGCGCAATAGAGACGTCTGGGTACGAGGCAGATAGAGTCTATCGTGAAAAGTACATGCGCGAGCGGCACAAAAGAGGAGACGCGTGAGCGAACTTCGCCGCTCGCTTGCGCGGCTCGTTTCACTCGCCCACTGATGGATAGCTTTTTTTCAGGCTGGCGAAACATTTAAATACCCCTCTGCCATAAATAAGCTAAGTGGCGAATTTTCAGTTTTACTTTCAAACTCTACAAAAAAAGACATTGGAATCAAAGAAAAACAGAAAGATAACGGCTTAGTTTCATTTAAAGTTACTCTACTACTTTGAGTATTTGCTTGAAACTTTAATCAGCTTTAAGTACATCGTTTTCACATGACGTCACGGCGGCCATATTTGTGTACAAAACAATGAATCGGCGGCCATGTTTGGATACCAAAAAAAATTCTGTGGGAATTGAACTGTTTTCACATGTTAAAACTTTCTATTCCAAGCAATTTGCAAAGCTGCTGACCACGTGGCCAAAAACGATCTATAAAGATATTTAAAGGCAAATATATTTACCCAATAAAACTCATGTAATCTCCACAGCCGTACAGTTAACAGCGTGACACCCCTCTCTTTAAATTGTGAGGAATACAGTGGAATTCTGACGTTTGGAAACGTCATTTTACGCCCTTCCATGTTATTTATTTATTCATTTATTTATTTATTTAAAGATTTAGCATAACAAACAAGTTGGCTACTCAGACGTATTATACGTTTTAAAGAAGCAATAGGTCACTATTTAAGTCACCTGCAAGTTTACTCCACCTGCAATTTATAATTTATAGGCAGCTGAGTAGAAATTCCATGGACTTGTTTGCTGTTCCTAGATAAACACTGTTCTTTTACCCTCAGTTTTCCGCGCTAATCCACTGCTGTGTTACTTGGAAGGCTGGAAATGTGGGGATTCCACTGTATAATAAATGCAATCTCTTGAGCAACAGTCAAGAAAATTGTTTGATGAACTCTTAGCTATAGGTACCACCACCGAAAAAGTTCTTTTAAAAATATCTACTTCGTATAACTACTAACCCTTCCCCAATATAAACTACTGCTATAATTTCTTTAAAATCTCCGCTGTTGGTCACGTTTTTGTAATGTATTTACAAAGTAAAATAATCTCTAAGATATAGTTTTCAGTTTCGTGTAACTGTAATGCTCTATTACAAGTTAAGTTTAAGAATAATGTCTAAAAGCCATTTTCAGAGCTGAATTACTTGGTTCTTTCTAACAAGAAGTATCAATAATATCCTAAATGATTCCTTGGAGTGCTTTGGCATGTTTGTCTTTGCAACGATTTTTAGCCAAATCATCAAGAATGTTGTTGTTAGCTTTGTAAATTTAAATCTAGCAGATTCAGTAAAATACGAGCGGTCCTTCACTACCTTCAGAGACAGCCTTTTCCGGCGAGTGGGAGATTTCACGTCATCCTCCACAATCTGAACGTCTGGAAGGGATCGTGGTCTCATGGATAATAGAATGCAGAAAGTACGCGGGTAAAAATCGCCTCGAGACACAGGAGACACAGGAAAGAGAGACACTCGTCGACGAGACTGAGGAAGAAGAAAAAAATTGAGGTCCCTCATTTCTCCTATTCCACCGCGTCTCGCCTGTCCTCGCGCACAGCGAATCTCATATACGCGCTCACGTATTTCGTGAGCCCTAATGCGGGACTATTCGTAGTACACGGAACTAGTGCAACCTCGTCCCCAGGGCTTTTCCCTCAACCCTGGGGACGAGGTTGGGAACCAGTGGAACCACAAAAAATATCTCAAACTTCTCTGTTCAGTTCTATGCAGGCGGGACCCGGCTTGAACTCATCTTGTTCCATGAATTCGAAACATCTCGTACTCACGATGTCCTTTTTGGGTTTGTAGTGCTGGAATTCGAAAAATATCGCTGTACCTTCGCACGAAAGACAGAATAAAACAACGCCAAAATATATTGTTAATTATGAGGAAAAGGATTTTCGCACCATTTCAACATCTCAAAAGAAAGACACGTTCGATAGCCTTGAATTAGCCTGCGTGGAAGGCGCTGGTTAAGTTTTTTGGTTAGGTTTTATGTTCTCCCTTCGTGCGTGCGCGCGTTCACGAAATTTCTCCCTTCTCCCTTACAAAACAGGCTCATTTCAGAAGGGGTGTGGTGGCTGGTAGGCTGGTAGGTTGGTTCATCTTTTTAAAATTTCTTTCCATCATTAATCGGTTAGATCAAGAAGCCATCGCTTTCGGTTGGTTTTATACGTAATGTTTCCCTACAATATGGACCACTTTAAATGATCTGACTTTTTTTAATTTTACGCGATATTTTGATTCAACATTTTGTGTAATTATCACTCCCGCGAATGTTTACCGCTACTTGGATTTCAAAGTTTATATGTAGATCTATTGCGTTTGTTGTGATATTTAACACATCAGCTAATGAATGATGGGAGTTTTTGAAAGCTAATTATTTGTTGCTTTTCTGTAGTACAAATGTTTCTACAAGGATTAGGGACGGACCATTAGAAAACTTATGGGGGGGGAGGGGAATTTTCGAGCCGCAGGAATTTTTTTTCGTTATCAAATTCCTTGTATGAATTTTTTTTAGGCCACAGCATGAATATTTTTTAGGGTTAATTGGCGTGCAAGAATTTTTTTTCATTTAATTTTCCCTTGCGCGAATTTTTTTTTTTGTACTTCGCCCGCCCCCCCATAAGTTTTCTAATGGTCCGTCCCTTAAGCAAAGACGTTTTTGAGCGACCGGAAATGAACTGTTTTCTTTTCAATATGACATCATGACGCTACCAACTTTGTATTTCCGAGTGTCTTTTGTCTCATAGAGACGATCTGCCCTAAAATTAGGTCAAAATCACACCCGCAAGATTGCAGAATGTCTACTCTGGCCCTCCTCGACTTTCGATAAATATATAGGGAGGCAAGGGTATCCTCTCTAGTTTGTCGCAGGATATATCAATTCGGTGTTCAAACTCAGGTTGCGTATTCTCGATCATGTGGCGGTTATTCAATAATTCCAATCAGGTGCTCATAACCCTGTCCATATTTGGTGTAGTTTTAACATTGTTTGTTCAATATTTTTTTTTGCCTTCCTGAATTCCCAGAGTGCCAGAAGTTTTTGTTTTGGGTGCGGATTTTTCGGTGTCGGCCGCAGGCACTGGCGGCGAATGATCAAATGAATCAAAATTGAAAATCACCCTGTAAATTGTTTTTATTTTCAATTTTTAATAGTCAGACTGTCCAACCTTTTGAGTACGTACAATCGGGATGTATTTTTTAAATAACCGACGAATCACGTGAGCGCCGAGTGTGCGAGCTGCCAAGGGGTCTGGATGCATGAGATCCGAGAAAATTTTGAAATTTTGATGTTCTGAAACGCTATTCTTGTGTTCTAACAGTTCTATTTGTTCCAGACGACGACATCCAACAAGTAAGTGTACGCTTACAGTAACATGACAATATAAAAGGTATTTACTTAAAGGCATCTATGGTAATGGTGGCGGTGAGGGGTGGGTGTGTGTGCGTGGGTGGGTGGGTGGTGGGACGGGGGGTGCGACGTTATTTTTAAATTAACAGAGGGGGGTTAGAACTAATTTTTTTTGTTTTGGAAGGGGGGTACTGTCTAAGTTTTCGCTAGATAATTCTAGTTTTTCAGCCCCCCTTCTGATAATTATTGCACAGTCCCTTAGGTCTTCTCAGATGTCAAAATCGGGATTTTTTCTATCCCGATCGCATACTGGTTGGGATTCGGGATTTTCAAGCAAAATAGGAAGAATCCCGACGAGATCGGGATGTTCGGACATTCTGAATTAGTGATTGAAATTCAAATGTACAAAAACCACACGCGAGGTGAAGGTCACGCTTCCGTTTTCTTGTTTAATGTTCAAGCTCTCGTTCGATCATTTGCAACTATTACAATTTATATGTTATTTTGAG